CTGACCATAACACCCAAGTATAACGAGTACTATCTACATTATTGGCTGAAAGTGGGCTAACTCCCAGCATCAGAAAACCATGGGCTAGGCCCAATATAATCGTCACTATTGGGGATGTGGAGGGTTAGGCCGGTGACAAAGAGGCTACGGTTATTTATTTATATATAAATATCGATAAAACATATATATTATTTCTCTAATTCTACAATTAGTTACCATAAGTTATTATTTGTAATGTCACTTCTGTTATTTGGTAATTTGTATTAATTAGTTATAGAGTTATCTTTTATTTTTAGATCTGATTAATTTAAAACATACCTATTTTATAATATTTTCATTTATTTTAAATTATTTTAAAATATAACTATTTTAATTAAATATTATTATATAATTGTCTATAAAATAAAAATTCATATTTAAAATTTTAAACACAATGTCATTATTGTAGGCCTATATACTTAATATTAATGTGATATCCAATATTAAATGAAATTAAAATATTTTTATTTGTAAAAAATTGTTAAAATTTTATATTGTACATTTTAAAATTTTATTATACTGCAAAAACATATAATCTCATTATTTTAAAATATTTTTTTCTTGCTTTCAGTTTACATTAGATTTTATATCTTTGACTTTAACAATTGTAAAACTGGTCATTTTTATTGATCTTCTTTACTAAGTTTATCTTAACGTTTAAAAACACACATAAAACTAATTAATTCACATTTATAGTAACACAAAAATACATGTATCTCGAAAAACAAATAAAAATTAAATACATAAGTATATAAAAGAACCAAGAACACAACAAACATATTTATAATTCTTCTCTCATGTTTTTTATTTGTCTCCATTCCTTTTCCTTTTATTGAAATAAGCATACTAATTTTATAATCAAAGCTATGTGAATTATATTAATAAATTATTAACTCTAATAAAAGCCTGTGAACAATACTTTGAATAATATAATTTTAAATGACTTACCATATAATAATTTTAAATGAATTATCATATAATAAGTTTAGTTTATTTGTTTATATTAATAAATGTATTAAATAAAAAATTTATTGATTAATATAATTTTAAATGATTTACCATATAATTTTATCTTTTAAAGTATAAAACATATTAATCTTTTCTAAAAGTGATAATCATCTATATCACATTGTTGTTGGAAAATGACTGGAATTTTTTAAATTTATATATTTGACTATTTTCCATATATTTGAAACATATTTAGAAATATATATATATAGTGAATGATTGAGTTTAGTTAATATTATTAGGTATAGATTAAATATTTTCCTGAAATCTCTAATTTATTGTATTCACTAATAATATAAATAAAAACCATTTTTATAATTGTTTCTGTAGTATCATATGTATTATATGTATACTATCAATTTATATAATGTAATCTATGAGATTTAATTATTTATATAAATAAATGATGTTAATTCATTTATATTAAAGATGTTTAATTGTATGTTTGGAAAACTATATATTAGACTATGTAATTTTAGGATTGGTGTTTTTTTTAAAAAAAAAACTTTAATTTAATAAATAAAAAATGAAAAATCATCAACCAATCAAATTATAACAATTGATTAAATGATTCTTCTATGAGTGACTTCTCAATTAATATATAGGAGGATTCAATTTGGATCAGATTTTCTTATTTTGGTTGGATAAGTGATTGATCAATTAATATATGGAAGGATTCCATCTAGATTAGATTTCTTTATTTTGGTCTAGATCGGTTTAGTCAACCCGACTTAAACAGCCAGCACAGGTTAAGATGACCATCCTTGCTCGGGTATGCCCTGTCACTGGCCATTGCTGCTTGCTCTTCTGTGTTTGACGAATTCAAACTTCTCCATTTCCGATTCCATAAAACATCCTTAAAACATGTTTACCACATTGTTCAAAACACTTCAGACAAACCAGTTATCACACTTGGGAGTTACTGGGGAGATATTACCGTATCTCCAATCATACCAGTTATGGATTTCATTTATTATGTAATTATCTCTTAGGGTTTCCTACTGTAGTATATATATACATTGTAATCCCTTCTACGACACATACACAAGAATACACTTTCATCTTAAGTTTACATGGTATTAGAATCCTCTTTCTAAAGGGATCTCAAATTTTCTTTTTTTTCTCTCCTCATCACGCCATGGAAAATCCAAGCTGAAGTCGTTAATTCTGGTACACTGTCGAACTCTATTGTTTCAGTCAATATGACTAACGTGATCAAGTTTTCTTCGACAAAATACATCACATAGAGCGCTCAGATCAAGTCTCTTCTTAGGGGTTATGATCTGCTCAAATACATACACCCCACAACGGTCTCGCCGCCGATGACAAACACCGGCACCGATGAAGCATATCCAGCCTACATCACATGGCAGAGGCAGGACAGCTTGCTCTACAGCTCACTTATGGGCTCTATTGAGATTGCAAATAGACATATGATCGCCACAGCCACCACGACACTTGAAGCTTGGACTCTTCTCGCCTCCATATATGCCAAACCAACCAGAGGGCATATCAAACAACTCCGCAACCAGCTCAAGCAGAGTGTCAAAGGAACCAAGTCCATCGACAAGTATATGCAACAGACCAAAGTCAACGCTGATGCCCTTGCCTTGCTCGGAGATCCGATGCATTGAGAAGACCTTACAGACGCAGTTCTTGACGGACTCTCCGACGACTACAAGCCAACCATTGATGTTGTTCAGGCACGTGACACTCTGATCTCTTTCATTGAGCTCCACGAGAAACTCATCACTAGATAACTCGTGCTGTCTACAACTGTGCGTCCTCAACAGCACCAATTTCCGATCACGGCGAACCATGCTCACGCCCAATCTAACAACTGGCGCAACAACAGAGGAGGCAACACTCAGAACTCCCGGTTCAATAGCAATGATCAAAGAGGTCCTTTCCCATATCTAGGTCGCTGTCAAGCATGCGGTACTCAGGGTCACAGCGCTATGAGATGTCCAGTGTTTTGTATTGTTCTTGGTTCCTCCTCTGGTCCACCAAACCAGGGAAACAATTGCTCATACTATCAACAACCATCGCAGGCTTACAATGCCATGATGCAAGCTACGGACAACTCCTCTTGGCTTCTAGACTTAGGCGCCTCTCATCACCTCACCTCATACCTTGCAAACCTATCTCTTCACACCACTTATACTGGTGGTGAAGAAGTACATATTGGAAATGGGATGTGCCTCGAAATTTCAAACACCGGTTCCTCCCTTCTTTCCTCTGCTAATCGTCCTCTGCAATTACAGAATGTTTTACATGTTCTTAGTATTGCGAGAAATCTTCTATCAGTTCATAAGATGTGTAATGATAATGGTGTTTCTGTGAAATTTTTCCCTGAATTGTCCTAACAGTTACGGTCTTCATCCAAATCAAGTATATGTCTCGTCTGTATGCGTTTGCCTCTTTAGAACTCAAAAGTTGTCGACTTTGGTGTAAGATTGGGTTTAGCTTTAAATTTATCTCACTCTTAAGTTTAAGTTCAACAATAGGAAGCAGTAATTTTTATCCAGATCTTCCTAATGGATATCAGATATCTCAGTTTGATGTCCTTATTACGTCTAGTGGCTATGTGGATGTTGGTATTCCACTTGAGTTTTGTGGTGAACACAAGAGGTTTGGTATCACTAGGGTTCATTTGGAAGAAGATGCTGGCAAGCTACTTCATTCAGACTTTGAAGATTACTCTCAGGCATAAGACTTTTGAAACAAGTTTTAGTTTTGGTTTGTGTTTAGGATTAGAGATGGCAAATAGGTTGTCTCATCCCATTTTATACCGAACTGCAGCGGGATTTTCTTCAAGTGGGTTACAGCAGATCAGGTCCGCACGGGCTGCGGTCTCCAAAATGGCTGCCCTAACCCGTCCCGCTATATGTACAAACATTCGCGGATCAACCCACGGGATAGATGATAATACACTCAGCAGAACGCTTCAGACTACTCCACAACGCTTCAGGCCACTTTGGTTTAAGTCGTCGATTCAACTTGACATAATTTCCCAGTCATTGATTTGCTTATTTTTTATTCTAAACAATAGTTGTAGTTATTTTTGTCACACCCAAAACATATTAACATACAAAGTAAAAATAATTGCAAAAAATATTTTTCTTTTTCTTAAAACTCATAAGTTCATAACCAATGTTTTAGTTTGTTGAATCCAAAAATTAAATAAAAGCAAACACTGAATCAAAGTTGCTAACAGCAAATTAAATAAAAAGAGAAAACCAAATCAAAACATCACCAAAGCTCGAACCGTCATCGCCAGAGCTGGAGTCGTCATCGTTGGAGCTCGAATCATCATCACTGAAGCGCGATCATCATCATTGGAGCTTTTTACGTTTCTCGGGGAAAGTCACATGAATTGTCTACTTCTCACTCTCTTTCTTGTTTCTTTTCAGATAAAACAAGAAATGAAGAAGAAAAAATGCGGATCTCTATAATCCCGTGTGACCCGTTTCGGCCCATCACACAAAAGATCCAGTCCCGCAAATATCCATCCTGCGAGGCCTGTAGATTTACGGGCGTAGAAAACCTCGTCCAAATACCGTCCCACGATAATACGGGCCAGCTCGCGGTCCAGGTCCATGATTGCCATCTCTATTTAGGATGTTGTTTTTCCTTGAGGGGTTTTAGGGTTTAAGGAGAACATAGGAAGCTCGTAAGACATCATCGGAATGTTTGAATATGATTTTTATGCAGAGAAAATGCACAGTATCAAGAACACTAAGCTTACTTGTATGGCTTGAGATGACTAATATCTGTAATTAGTAGTGCACTATGTGTTACAGTATCACCAATGATCAAGCAAAGACGCTATGCAAATAGGAACCTTGGCCTATGATTCTTATATTTGGTTATCATGTGGTGCAGGTAGATCTGAATAGGGCAGGAGTTCATTTGCTTAAGATTGTTTCCGAACCGAGTGGGACAAAAGCAGCTGAAGACGCTAGTGGAATTATTTTGCTAACATATAAAATGAAAGATGAGAATTTGCAATTTCCATGTGAAAGTCGAAGGACCAAAACAAGACTTTGACTCTCACTCTGATTCAGAAACTGAACAGAGAGCAGAGCCTAAACGTCTAGGGAGAACATTCCTACACGGTATAGTAATAATATATATTCCAAACTGGTCCTTTGATACAGTGAAAATATCAGGAACCTGAGCATCTAAATAAGCTTTTAGAGTTCGTCATGCAGGCGTTGTTGTAGAGGAATATCAACATTTGGAACTGTATTTCCTCCATCAAACTGTTGTCCGAGAGGCATGGCATCACCATTTGCTGCTTTTCCAGCCAATTGAGCTTTAATGGCAGCAGTAGCCATCTGCTGAAGTTTCAGGATTCCAATGCGCTTTGAAACAACGTAAAGAACAGCGCAGACGAAGAGAGAAAATCCAATAATGAGGATTATCCTATTGTTGATAGTACCAAAAGAGTTCTTATTTTACTATATAATTCACCAGGAGAGTTGTTGATTTATTAACAAATATATTCTTTTTGCAAGTACCTGTCAATTACGTCTTGACGCTGCATAGTAGAAAGTAGATTCCGAGTCCTGGATAACAGAGACCTGTGTCCTTTGTATTCACTCTCCGCTTTCTTAAGTACTCCAGTAGACTCATCTGCGAAAGTGAACATAGATAATATGTCAGTTTTAGTGTCTTAACTAAATACTTTAATCATAAGGTCAGATTGGCACATAGGAAATGACATACCAAAAGCCACGAGTGTGTTTGTACTTCTCTCCACTTCCTGTAACCCACAAACGTCATGAGATAATGTTTAAATATTTGTTTATGGGTTGTTTCTTTGGTCTAGAGAAGAAGAATAAAAAGCCAGCAAGATAGCAGAAAATAGCTGTTCCGACCTGAACCATTAGCTGCCGTGAACGCCTGAGACTTTCGGTTATGCTTTCAGCATCTGACGTTACGCCAGCATTTGCTCTGCCAAACAACCAAAAACGTAAGACTCACTAACAGTGAACTATATAATAGAGTGTGCTACTTTAACCAATAAGCAAAAGAATAATAATACAAGTAAAATTGTTTCAAACAAGAGGTTAAGTTAAGCAGGATTGATGGAACAGAAAATGTAAACAGTTACTTACTGTCGTTTACGTCTGAGATCAGTGGACTCTGTTCCACCACCGAGGAGAAGCTCTCTCTACAATCATTGTAAGAACACTCTTTATACAGAATAAGTTCAAAGGAGATGGCTAGTAAAAAAACAGCAGCAGAGAGAGAGAGAGAGTGCTTAAGACATGAGACTTACCTCTTGTTGAGCAGCTTTCCTCATGTTATCCTTTGCTTTCAAATTAGCACTTCTCAAGTTAACCCTCAAACTGACCGACCACAAACAAAAACAATCCACATAAGAATTCTTCAACTAAACACAAAATCCTTGCTTATGCTGCTACTGTGAACAATACGTATCTGATAAATGCTTTGATTGACGTGTTGTACCAAAATTCTAATAACTTGAGATCAAACACAGCCCAAGGCAATAAATACTTTGCAACGCTTAAAGTAGCATTGAACAAGAGATAATCATAGACATGTCCTTGTGTCCTTTATCAATGACTTCAAGTATCCCTAAGGCAAGACCAATCTGAGCTAAGACTTACATTACTCAACTACCTAAACGTTGTTTGTTATAAAAAGCAAATACCTTTGATACTGATTCTTCCAGGTTTCAAGCAGAGACTGAGTGGACTGGACAAGATCATCAGAAGGGAGCTGAGGAGCGAGCAGATCTAGATTGAATTGCAGAGAGTTGAGAAGAGAGAGACCATCCTGAGCCAATCCGTTGAGCCTCTGTAGTGAAATCTTCTCCTCTCCTCCTCCTCCTCCTCTCCTTGATTTACCGTACTCTTGTATCGCAAGGATATGCTCGATGGTCTTCTCGTAGGCGTCGTCCCATTCCCTCTTCGTCTTCTCCACTTGTACTACAACCTCGTCCATGTCTCACTTTGCACTTCATACAAACAATAATAATAACTTTATATTAGTCAAATGCAAAGCAAATAACGAATATTCAGAAAACCAATAAATCATCAATCAATCAACAACACAACAGAATCAGGATATAATATGGTTTCTGTATGAATTATGATCGAGAATTTTCAAAACTGATGCCAAATCCCTAAACTACGAGTTGGGGCACAACTTACATTGGTTGAGCTAAATATTTGAAAAGTGTGTAATTGAAAGAGAGAACGAAGTAGATCAGCGAACAAAAGTGGAGATCCCAAATTCGTTTCTCGCTAAAAATATAGCAAACAAAAACTCGTTTCTGGGGAAGCAATCGGAAGAGAGAATATTTTTTTGGAGGATGATAACTGAAACGACGTAGTTATATCTGAAAGACAAAAAAAAATATATAAGCACTACTTTAATGATACTATTTTGTTGTTTTATCTATAAATGGATAAAAAGAATTTTCTTTTGATGATATAAAATATTACATGATCAAAATCAAGTTTCAATTATGTGGGTATAAAGAAAATTTTAAAAACCACGGATACTTTTTTGTTGACAGTAAAACCAAATATTAAATGAATTTATAACTATTATTATATATCTTTAATATTTAAGAGTTGTTCTATTATTATTAGTAGTGGTTTGTCCGTGCTTCCCGTAAATTATTTGTTTTGTTTTTCAATTTATGTTTGAGTATTTGTACCCTCTATACACACAAAACCACTAAATTAGGATTCTACCCTATTTATCTCTATCTCTCTCTTGTATTTCGTTGGATTTGTTTTGTGGGATAGGTTTTTTTGTTTGTGGGTGACTAAGTGTGTGCTATGCTGTCACCGTTATGTGACATGGTTCATCGTAGTCGCTAATGTATCGACTGTAGACTTTGGGTGTTTCTATGTTGTTTTTTAGTTTTTATTACCTCTCAAGAAGCCGTATTTTTTTATAGTTTTTTTACTTGTTAATTGTTGTAGCAACATTGTCCTAATTGTTTTTAGTCTATGTTGATTTAAAAATTTATTCACTTATATCTTTTTTTATTAATTTTTATTCTTTAACTATTATTGTCATTGTATTTTAGTTACACTTTTTTTTGAAAACGTTAGATTTGAAAATGGATGGACCTGCCTTTTAACAAATAAACATTTGTTAAGGGGTTTATAACTATGTTGTCGTGTTTGTGAAAAAAACATTGTCTAAGAATTATAGATTGTGAAGGTCATGGACTAATCAGTTATTAATGTCCTAACCTCCTCTTCCCTCAGCCAAATTATTTGGAAACAAAGCAGGAGTGGTTATGTTTCGGCATCACCTTTTATGGCGTTGTATTGCTGCCGGCTTGTACAGCTGTGTAAGTAAGAAATATTAGAATTTGCAAGAGACCGCGAAAACCAAGAGATATAGAGTTTATACTTTACAGAACCAAATATCGGTATTATGCCAGTTTTTGTTTTAAATAAGTTATGTACAAATAACTCCGGTGTGTTGTGTTAAAATTATCTCTCAAATCGTGAGCGTTGTTTGAGATGTATGATACTGGTTTGTATCTTTTCAAAATATTATTTACAGGATTTAACTGTAGTTAAGTGGGCCGAAAACTGTATGTTTTAATTTCCAAGTGAACATATGAACTTTTCAATACGATGCGGTGGAATTTGTAAGCTTGTGTTTCAAGATATTCCATCACACAATTTTTAAATAATATACATAGTTTAAAACAGCCAAATCCAGTCAAAAACACCGCACAATAGACTTGGATTGGAACTTATTGATATCAAGATTTTTTTTTAAAAAAAAAATAGGACAATAGAGTAATTGTGATCTGTTAAAATTCTAAAACGGTGTCATGGACTCTCATGGTGTTAATGTAAGATAATCAAGCTATATCAAGTAAAACACACAGTAGTACAGGGATGATTCTTCACAAGAAAACTGACTAGATTAATCCTTTTAAAAGTACACAAAGTTCTTTATAAAAGCAATTACTCAAGCAAGCTCAAGACAAACCTTGACTTGTTTGACTAGTCACACACGTTCAAAGACTTGCAACAGTCTCTGAACTACTTCAACTTCTAACCCCTAGATGCTTTGTCTCTCCTTCTCCGGACNACAATCTTCCATTCTTCTTATGATAGATTGCTTCTTCTCCAATGCTTTCCTTTTTCTCTAACCCTTCATTAACTCTCTCTTTAATGTGAAGTTCACGGCCTTCACCTTTCACACGTCACAAGTCTCTTATCCTAGTTCATGTCGCACTTCATGAACTACTTCTGCTCTGCTACACCTCTGTCTTGAGTATACATCTTCAATCTCCCCCTTTTTAATTCGATGTCTCACAAGTACCTGAAATACCACGAAGAAGACATGCATACCAACAGACAGACATTCTACACTTATGCAAGTAATGGTTAGGTTAAAGTAGACCAAAAGCAACTTCAAATTATCCTTCATAAGGTCTGGAGCAGTACATTCTTTAGAAAACAAAAAATAAACAAGCTCCCCCATAAACCGACATTGTCTGAAAATAAAAATAACATAAAGTTGCAACAAGTGGTGCAACCAGAATACTAACGTAAAACATAAACTGCATAAACTGCTCCCCCACAACCTTAGATCCTTCTACCACTCATTCTTCGTCATTTTCTCCCCCTGCTTGTGAGCACACGGATTAAAAACAACAGGAAACAACAGGAAACAAGCAATCAAATACCAAAAGAGAGAGAGAAGGAACCTGGAACCGAGTTCTGAAGTTCTTGGACAACATCAACCAATGTCTGAAGAACCCGAGTCGTGTCCTGTAAGGCAGACTGCAGATCTTCCCTAGTAAGTACACCCTGAGGAACAACAATCGAACCCAACTCGTATACAGAAATTCGGCGTGGTCTTGTGCCGGAGCTTGGTGTAGGAGTTGGTGAAGCAGATGCCTGCAGCCGAGACGAACGAGCAGACTTCCTCACTGAACCTTCTTCCTTGGCTTTTCCCTTAGCCTTCCGTTGCTCGTAAATCTCTCCCACTCGCTTGTCTTTCTTGTAGGCAATTGCACGATCAACCTTATCATCAGATTGAGATGGTACCGGATGCTGCTTCTGAAGGAGTCCCATGATTAGCCGAGGAAAAATCAGCCAGCGTGAGTCGTTCTTCTGGATCACTCCCAAGTTCATGATTTGCTTGCAGATCAGCTTTCCCATGTCCACGCGGATTCCATGAGCCATCTTGTAGATGAGTCTTGCTCTGTCAAGGGACACATGTGTCTTGTGTGTAGATGGAATCCAGTTGTGAGCTGCGATAATCATAAGAGCCCCATAGCATGGTGTCAGATCTGCAGTGGTGAGATGATCCCATTCCTTTCGAGTCCCATTCGTGAGAAACTCGGCTAAGGCAGTGGCCGATGCTTCATCCATGACTGCTTCAATGTCTTCTTCCTCAGCAGTAAGTGGCTCAAGACCGAGAGTCTCGTTAATTATCATTGGAGAGAACTTGTATGGGTGGTTGCGGACAGTGACAATCACCTCTTCAGTATCAGCTTCCACCTTGGTGTTGGGCAAGCCTGCGTAGAACTCAGCCACAATCTGTTCAACAAACACTCCAAGAGACGAGACAGTGGATTTCATTGACCCTTTTTGGATAATCGCAAGATAACCCCATTGATCCGTTTCCTGCATGTCAACCAATCTCTCAGCAATCACCTTACGTTTCAGGAACAGATCATACCTCTGCTTAATTTCCACAGGAATGAGAACACCAGTCTTCTCACTCCGCCTTCTGGATTTACTACGAGATGACCCAGCTTGTACTTCAGGCACAGATGGAGAAGACTCTCCCTTTTTCTGCCTCTTGGAGGAACGCAATCCCAGACGCTTCAAGACACGCTTTTTCCTGCTGGACTTCTCAGACGTGTCTTCAGAGGTGGAGCCGAGGGAGATGGCCTCCTTGTCTTGGTTCGTGTCCTCGTTTTGTTGACCTGACTCAGACTCAGCTTCACTCTGAGTTTTCTCCTGAACTTGAGTTGTTTCATTGACCAGAGCCACCGCTGGGAGAATCGACTCATCACTTTCCTTCAGATCTGTTAGCGTCTTAGGGTCAGTTGGCGAGGGGTCTTGTTCAAGATCCTTTGGTGAGGTTGGACACCCACCGTCGGGAACATGCATTGAATCCACAATGACCTGAGGTGGATCTACTACAGCCACAGAGGTGCCTTGATTGTCACCGCTACCTTCGGACCCAGATTTTTCTTGAGCCGTATTGAATGAGACCAGCTCTTCAGTTACTTTAGGAAGGTCGGTTGAAACCGGTAACTCGTTCAGAGGAGGCATGGATTCAGGCGGACCATCAGAAAGTTGCCTTCTGTGTGATTCAGCTCATGCATGGTCCTCGATCTTGGAACTTGAGGGTTCTTGAGCAGAGTTTGTTGAGTTCACCATCTTGATTCAGTTCGATTTGGTTGAGATGGAGAGAATTGAGCGACGGAGGCGAATGATATAAGCTTCTCGAGCACGATGGAGATATTTTAGGGTTGTGCCCCACGACTTTCCTTAGGTGAAACAACCGTCTTTTAGATTTGCACGTCCAGTCCCTGTCTTTTAATCCTCTCGCAATTTGTACCTACAACTTTTGACAGTCTCTCATCCAAACAAATTGGCATCAGGCACATTCGTGAATTAATAGTGTATCATTAGACATTCAGAATAGTGATCTACCACGAGTTACCTTGCAACATTGACTGATTCTCAAATTTAGTCAAAAGATTATATCATTTATCGATTTTTGAGTGACGTGCTGCAAGAGATGGTTCAGCACTTGATTCAATGTGCACATACGACTCTTCTAGATTGGCACGATCTGGTGCACCCGATTGTCTTTTATGGCTAGCTTTCACATTGTCATGCCTTTATCAACTCTGCAGGTTTTCAACCTTTATTTGTGCGCTGTGAAACTCCCATGACTGTATGCTTTTCATTGTAACACATTATCTTGTTCAGTTGCTCTCTTTTGAGATTTTTCAAACTACTTCCCTTTTTATTCGGGGTAAGAGAGCCACAGATTGACACAAAACCTGTACCTTACAGAGTTGACGGCAAGCCAAGCAGCTCTTTTCCACAGCGTTCTCAGGTTCCAGACAAAATCTGAATCATATGTACACCCTGAACCTGTACCTGTATCAATCTCTGCACAATCTGATTCAACAATCAAGATCACACACACCAATTGCATTTCTTAATTTAATGAAGCGATTAAGTTCAAGTGATTTAGTGAAAATATCAGCCAACTGCATATCGGTAACTACATGTTCGATCACACCCTGATTGTCTTCAACTAATTCTCTGATGAAGTGGTGCCTGATGTCAATGTGCTTTGTCCT